TGTTTACTCTCACCATGTCCCAGCTTAAACAGGTAAACACACAATCCTTCTGAGTGCGTCCTACTCACGTTGATTGCACTCAGTATGATTATACACAAGCACGTCTACTCTCATTACACACATTAACACGATGTGCAGCCCCCCCACACACACACACGCACAACGTCTGCACAAACTAGACTTACTGCACACACACATTATCAGACAAGGCTGAATCCTACTCAGAATAAATGTCCATTATTACTGTCAAGTTGTTCCTTTTTTGTAAAGTTCAGCTCCACGTTAAACTCCTTAAAAATGAGTTTTAAACAACAACACTGAGTCAACACACTGGGACAAACGCACACAAACAAAGAACTTCATGTGTGACGTTTGCCAAATTTACAATAAGGCAGTACAGATGAGGTGAGTTGTTTTGTCTTCTGTTCAGATGCTGCCTTTGAACACCAACATCAGAGTGGCCTACGCCAATGGAAAGGACGACGAGCAGAACTTCATCCAGAACCTCAGCCTGTTCCTCTGCACCTTCCTCAAAGAACACGGCCAGCTCGTCGAGAAGAGACCAAACTTGCGAGAGTCACTGATGGAGGTGAGAGGACGACTTCCTGTTGGAACAGAAAATAGATATTCACGGAAACAACAACTGAACATTTTCTCTGTTTGAACGGAGCCTTGTTTATCAAGTGGAAAGGTAAATTTAAATAATTGTGCGTCTGTGTGAGTAAACAAACCAGCGGATCTCAGTTGGTGGCTTTTAGTCAGTTTCTCATCTGCTTCAGTTTGTTATAAAGAAAACTCCCTCTTCCATCTAGTGATCTTCTTTTTTCGCCTCCCCAGTTTCTACTCCTCTGTGGCGTCCTGATTACACTTTTATAATGACATGTATTTGGGACAGATTGCAGTGGGAGGATCCACCTTTCCCACGACTCTTTGTCCAACTACAGATCTGCAGACAAATAATTGTTTCAGGATGAGACTGGGAGGGAAACTGCAATTTAACCTAGGAAAGATTGTTGCGCGTTGCAGACACGTTGTGTAGTCAGTGTTTGTGAAGCAGCAGCAGATTGTCCGACTCGTTCACAACAACAGGAACATGTGCGGGACGTTCAGACGAGGGCCGGCGTCGGCCCTTATCACCAAAAGATCTGGAATCTCCTCGTCGTCTGCGTCTTCCTCCTGAGATATTTGTATTCTTCACATTATCAACACCCTCAAGAAAATGAAGTACAAATTAAGTAAATTGAGAAATAAATGATTTTTGGCCATTACTGCTGGTTAAAGACAAAATAAAGTGATTAGCATGTACAAATAGAAATAAAAATCATGAGGCTAACAACCGACACAGACTGTTACCGGGTCACTCACTGCACTTTGTCTCCAGGCCCTGCACTTCATGTTGCTGGTGTCGGAGGTTGAGGAGACTGAGATCTTCAAGATCTGTTTGGAGTATTGGAACCACCTTGCAGCAGAGCTATACAGGGAGAGTCCCTTCTCCACATCCAGCACCCCGCTCCTGTCCGATGTGCCGCCACGAAGACACCTCTACCTGCCCGTACTGTCCCAGGTACTTCTGTCATCCACCGCACAGTCACACAGACGAATCAGAAGTGCATAAACTGATTAACTGCACTAATGTGAACCAGCTGTGGATTATTGAAGTGGGATTTTTGTACTTATTTCATAGTAACATACACGTACTGCTGTGGTAGTACAAGCTTGCTTCATATTACAGAGGCCTCCTCCTCCTCTTCTCGTAGGTACGTTTGCTGATGGTGAGCCGCATGGCCAAACCAGAGGAGGTGCTGGTGGTGGAGAACGACCAGGGTGAGGTGGTCAGGGAGTTCATGAAAGACACGGACGCCATTAACCTCTACAAGAACATGAGGGAGACTCTCGGTTAGTTTCTTCTCATCTGTGGTCGTCGAATGTGACTCTTCTGTTTCAGATTAACACATTTTAAAAGAAAATTAGGAGCCCAATTAAAAATGGACCACAACGCATTTATTAACTCACCTGACTCTATGTGTCTAGTGTACCTGACTCATTTGGACTACGCCGACACGGAACGCATCATGACTGAGAAGCTCCACAATCAAGTCAACGGCACCGAGTGGTCGTGGAGGAACCTGAACATGCTCTGCTGGGCCATTGGCTCCATCAGCGGTGCGATGCACGAGGAAGACGAGAAGAGATTCCTGGTCACAGTCATCAAGGTGCAACATGTGACAAGCATCTGAATAGATCCTGACTTTTCGTCTCTGTCTTTCTCCAAGAGCATTTAATCCAGCCAGTCTTTGATAAAGACGTTGTGTTATGTTCTCAGGACCTGCTCGGCTTGTGTGAACAGAAGAGAGGTAAAGACAACAAAGCCATCATAGCGTCCAACATCATGTACATCGTGGGACAGTATCCTCGCTTCCTGCGAGCCCACTGGAAGTTCCTCAAGACCGTCGTCAACAAGTTGTTTGAGTTCATGCACGGTGAGAAACTCAAATAACTGTTCAGATCTGATGACTTTCTTTAAATCTTTAATCTGTGATTTTGAAAAATCTGTTACTTCTTCCATCTCTGGTGACAAACTGTCATTGAATCAGACTCTTCGTGGTTCTCCTGTTCTTCCTAACACAGAAACACATGACGGCGTACAGGACATGGCGTGTGACACCTTCATCAAGATTGCTCAGAAGTGCCGTCGTCACTTTGTTCAGGTTCAGGTGGGGGAGGTGATGCCTTTCATCGACGAGATCCTCAACAACATCAACACCATCATCTGTGACCTGCAGCCACAGCAGGTCCGTCCCGTCTCACAGCGTTCACTTCTTTTGGTGGTCAACGTTTGCTGTGACCCCAAAACAATTTGTTCGGCTGTAATTCATTCGGACAAAAATACATTTCTTCTTCGTCACTACTTTTATAATGAGTCTGGACAGACATAGATATAAACTGTGACCTGACTTGTTGGCAGACGCGACAACTCAGAAGCATAAATTCTGGTTCCAAACCTGATGTAACTTCCTGCCCCTCGTCTGCGCAGGTCCATACATTTTACGAGGCGGTGGGCTACATGATTGGGGCTCAGACCGATCAGGCAGTTCAGGAGCTTCTCATAGAGAAGTACATGCTGCTCCCGAACCAGGTGTGGGACAGCATCATCCAGCAGGCGACCAAGGTGAGGAAGGATCGATTTATAATCTGCTTTTGATGGCTCCAAACATTCCCATTGAATGCAGCCTGAAGTGTAGCTTATTTAAAAACTGCTGCTTTCGCTAAACTCGGTGCTCTGTTGCAGAATGTGGACATCCTGAAGGATGCTGAGACGGTGCGTCAGCTGGGCAGCATCCTAAAGACAAATGTCCGAGCCTGTAAAGCTGTCGGTCATCCCTTCGTCGTTCAGCTGGGACGAATCTATCTGGACATGCTTAACGTTTACAAGTGTCTGAGTGAAAACATTTCCTCGGCTGTCCAGACTAATGGTTAGCACTCATCTGCTCCCTGTTTGTGTGTCTGTGTCTTCATTCAACTGTCGTCTCTGGGTGTGTACACAACATGCAGGCAACCTGAAGACTTTTTACATGCAAAAGATTAAATTATCTTTGGGCTCCAACAGGAGAGAAATATAATTTAACCAGTAATCAACCTAACAACCTGTTGAAGCACAAAACTTCTTCATTGAGCAGAACTGACATTTCTGTATCATTTGAGACCTAATACAGTGGAATCTGTGTGTGCTTTGTTTTCTGGGTCAGTGTCGGTTTTTCAGAGAAAATCTTAAAGACATTTTAAATCCTGTGTTAATCTTTGTTTGTCTGCGTTTGTTTATTATTTGTATTTTTCTGGCTTATTCAGGAGAGATGGTGACCAAACAGCCTCTGATCAGGAGCATGAGGACGGTGAAGAGAGAGACGCTGAAGCTGATCTCGGGCTGGGTCAGTCGCTCCAACGACCCGCAGATGGTGAGCGAATTTTGTATTTTCTCCTGTCTATTCTAAAACGGAATAGTGTTTTTATATTCAAATCTGTGTTTAGAATGATTTTTATTTTCGTAGAATCCTCTGAATTTGTGGAGCGTCACCAGATTCTGCTTCAGCAAATGGGAAACTGTTGTAACAGTTTTTTTTAGATTGGGCCTGGTTCCCTCTTAAAAACTACTTTTATAATCCAAAGCTAAAATAAGACTAATGTTTTCAGCACTGTGACCCTGAGTGATCCACAACAGTGACACACACAGAGATGCACGTGGCCACGTTAGTTATAATGATCGATACTTTGCTGAAATTGGGAAAACTTTACTTTACAGAGATTCATTCATTCATTCATTCAGTCGCTCCTGACATCAGACACGTCTATAAACTCAGACTGGATTAAGAACGCAGTATTTTTTGGTCTTTGAAATGTTCATGTGGGTTTTATTTTCCAGGTGGGAGAGAACTTTGTGCCCCCCCTGCTGGAGGCTGTGCTCATCGACTATCAGAGGAACGTCCCAGCTGCCCGCGAGCCTGAGGTCCTCAGCACCATGGCAACCATCGTCAACAAGCTGGGAGTGCACATCACCGGGGAGATCCCCAAGATCTTTGACGCTGTCTTCGAGTGCACTTTGAACATGATCAACAAGGTGTGTTGGAGTTGTGTAACCGCACCTGGCACCAGGTGGAACCGTCTTTAAAAACAAACACTGTGACATCGTTTTGTTTTTTCTTCTCTGCCATCAGGACTTTGAAGAATTCCCAGAACACAGAACTCATTTCTTCTACCTCCTTCAAGCCGCCACGTCCCAGTGTTTCCCAGCCTTCCTGTCCATCGCCCCGGCCCAGTTCAAACTGATACTGGACTCTATCATCTGGGCCTTCAAGCACACGATGAGGAATGTGGCCGACACAGGTCCGAACCGACACAACTCATCCTGTCACAGAAAGTAAATTGAATCCATTATATATATATATCTCTCAATCTAATGAGCGTCGTCTCGTGCAGGTCTACAGATCCTGTACACTCTCCTGCAGAACGTGTCCGCGGAGGAAGCGGCAGCACAAAGCTTCTACCAGACGTACTTCTGTGACGTCCTGCAGCACATCTTCTCTGTGGTCACTGATACCTCTCACACTGCAGGTGAACAGATCAGCTGACATCACTGGGTTTTACAACTCAGAGCACATTCACATTAAAGCCAACTTGAAACACAGGTGAATCATGTGACTGACGAGCCCTGCTCCCTGTCTGCAGGTCTGACGATGCACGCCACCATCTTGGCCTACATGTTCAACCTGGTGGAGGAGGGGAAGGTGAGCGTGGCCCTGAGCACGGCCAGCCCCGCCAACAACCAGGTGCACGTCCAGGAGTACATTGCCAACCTGCTGAAGACGGCTTTCCCCCACCTGCAAGAGTAAGTAGATTACATGAGACGCATGTGTTCTGCCAATGTTGATTCCTAACACTCAGAAGTGAGTCAGCACTTTTGAATTTTCTTACTTTCTTACATTTTGATTTACTTAGAAAATGAGGTTTGAGGCTCACAGAAGCTTCAGAGAGAGTACATGTTGTGCTTTCACACACTCGTTACTAATCCATTGTCTTGTGCTCAGTGCCCAGGTGAAGGTGTTTGTAACAGGTCTGTTCAGCCTGAATCAGGACATCGCTGCCTTCAAGGAGCACCTGAGGGACTTCCTGGTGCAGATCAAGGTCAGTGTCTCAAACCAGGCTGTTCATGATTATAAAGATAACTAGATATGTATCTAATAGTAAGAAATGTCAAATTAATCTTCCATGGAAAAAAGTCTTCAAAAGAAAAACAACTATTATGTTGTGTTTGAACAAATAGTGGTAATTCTTTGGTTGTATTTTGGAAATACCTAAGCTCAGACAAATCATTACTTAAAACACTAATCTGATTGGAAGTATTTACTATAAACTAAACTGTAATCTACATCAGATTATTTTAATTATTGAGTGGAGGGATTGAGCAGTGCACGTCTCGCTCTGTGGGAACGTGGTCGTTTGGCTCTGAGGCCTAAAGCCGAGCTTCTGTGTGTGTGTGTGTGTGTGTGTGTGTGTGTGTGGTCCTGCAGGAGTTTGCCGGCGAGGATACGACGGACCTGTTTCTGGAGGAGAGGGAGGCGTCTCTGCGCCAAGCCCAGGAGGAGAAACACAAGCTCCAGATGTCGGTGCCCGGAATCCTCAACCCCCACGAGCTGCCTGAGGAGATGGGCGACTGAAGGAGGAGTGGCGGTGGCGACCAGCGTGTCCAGAACAAATCTGAAGGGGGAAAGGTCGAGAGAGCAAGGACGCTTCCTGTCGATACATTTTCTTTTCAAGTGTGTTTGTGTGCAAGTGTGTGTGTGTGTTTGAAAAGAACGAGGGGCCAGAGAAAAGGACCCCAGCACTCGGTTGTACATCGACCAAATCTATGTCAATATGTAAATGAGAATATTCCCCACGAACCCTCCACCCTGGCGCGATTTCCTTTTTTCCCTCACAAACTTATTTTATATA